AAAAAAAAAAAAAAACTAAATGTGTTATATACAAAGCATTTAGGACAGTACCAGGCATACAGTAAACACTCAATACATGTTAGCCATTAGCCAACCACATCAGCCTCTACTTACCACTTCTCTCTCACTCCTGTCACCCTCCCTCTGCCTGGAAGACTCTAATTCCAAGTATACACATGGCCCTCTCCATACTCCCTTGGGTCTTCATTCAGATGTCACATTCCCAATGAGATCTTCCTTAATGGTTCTCTTTTCACATGACAATCCCCCTCCTGACACTCCGGACCTCTTTCCTTTGCTTTATTTTCCTTCTAGGCATTTATCGTTCAACATACTACAAGCATATGTTTTACTTATGTGTGGAATTTAATGTCTGGTTACTCCTCATTTGAAAGTAAGCTTTGTGAGGGCAGGGCTTTCTGTTTTGTTCACATAGTCGGTGCTCAATAAATATTTGTTAGATGAATGAAAAAGCAAGCACTGACTATCAACCTATTATTATATTGGGTCTGATTAACTTTGTTTCCTCATGGCTGGCACAAGTCCGCACTAAGTGGGCGCACAGTGATAATAATAAAAAATATCTAACATTTGTCGAGCAGTTCCTACATGCCAGGCACTGTTGTGAACATGTTTACAGGTTTAAACTTATTAATCCTCACAATAACCCATTGAGGTAGAGACTTTCATTATCCCCATTTTACAGAGGATGAAAACTGAGGCACAGAGAGCGTAAAGAGCTTACCCAAAGTCACACAGCCACTAAGTGGCAGGCTCAGGAGTCCCATCCCTGAAATGTGTAGCCACTAATCCAAGTTGGTCCTTTAAGCCAATCCTATTGAAGTGTTTGTCACATGTATTCATACATTACACCTACTCGCCTGGGTAAGACATGTGGGACATGATTCCAAATCACATTACAAAGATGTAATTCTTTCGCCCGTGGATTTTTGCCATTCTACTGCTTTGCAAACGTTTCATCCAGTCCCCTGGACAAGGAGGCCTCTTGATGTCAGAGACTCAGCCCAAAACACTACCACCCTGCCACAGGCTCAGATACCCCAGAAAGACTCACCAGGAATGGCGTCAGAGCTGGGACTCTCATCACTGCTGTTCCGAACAGATTCAAAGACAGCCCAGAGGAATTCTTTAGGGGGCAGGGTACCGGCCAACTTGGAAGCTGTTTGTTGAAGGATATCGGGAAACTGCATGGGTTAGAGAAGATAAAAGAGGAGGGACAAATACTAATTAAAAAACATGAAGATTTAAATCAGAGTTTAAATCATAACACTACTTACTGCCTCAGTTTTTTTATAGCAGCTTCTCACATAAATTTAATCTCTAGTACAACAAATGTGATCTCTATAAAGAATCCTATAAAAGGATGCTCAACCTCAATAATAATCTAATAAATGCTGAATAACATAAGCATATGTCACTTTTTACCCATCAGATTGTCAAAAATAAAATAAAATGATAATACTTAATGCTGGCCAAGATGTGCACTCATTTGTCCGTGGGACTGTTAAATGGTGCATCATTACCAGAGCAAGCTGATAATATTCACAAAAACTGTAAGTGTGCCTACCCCATTTTGGTTTTGGTGCTGTTTTAAAATTTTTATATTTATCACTAAAAGGAGGTAAAGAAGGGTTATCTCTGGATTCTGGGCAGAAACTAGCAACCAGCAGGGGTTGAGTTCCCATGGAGAAGGTGCCATTCCTCATCTAGAACAAACATACTTTGTCAAGACTTGGGATATTATTGGGAGACCTGCCCACGGGCCCAGAGAATTCATCAAGCTCTGCATATACAGAGTCACTGTGTCCCACCTGCCCAAAGAGTAACCACCTCAGTTTATGTAGTTCCTGATTCTATTCTCATCTTCAGAATTAGAGTCAGGCCCTACATGGCTGGCCTACTTTCTGCTCCTTTGAAGCTTGGTCATGTGACTTGCTTTGGCCATTGGAATGTGGCATAAGTGACAGCATGTCATTTTCCAGCCTTAGCCATAGGGAAAATTGTATTTATCCATTCCCTTTTCTTGGAATTTCAGTGAGAAGCAGCAGCTCCAGATAGCCTAGGCCCCAGAGACAGCCTTATGGAGCAGGGCTGCCTCAGTGACCCACAAATCAGTTAGCAAGAACTAAATGCTTATTGTTATATACCAGTGAGATTGTGTGGCTTTGTTATGCAGCAAAAAACGACTGATTTATGGTATATGTATACCATGGAGTACTATTCAGCTTTAAGAAACAATGGTGATATAGCACCTTTTTTATTCTCCTAGATAGAGCTGGAATGCATTCTACTAAGTGAAGTATCCCAAGAATGGAAAAACAAGTACCACAT